GGACCGATTTTGGAAATTGCAGGATATTACTCCGTTACTAATATGATCAGACACATAATAGATGATTTTTTATTTTTGTTGCATTGCTTTTTTATTTTTGAAACACATGGTAAGCACAGCTGTGCATTATGGACCGCAGTCACTTTTTGTCCAGAATAAAGAACTATGGACCGATTTTGGAAATTGCAGAATATTACTCAGTTACTAATATGATCAGACACATAATATATGATTTTTTATTTTTTTTGCATTTTTATTTTCAAAAAAAACATGGTAAGCACCACTGTGCATTATGGACTGCAGTCACTTTTTATCCGGAATAAATAACTATGGACCGATTTTGGAAATTGATCATATTAGTAACTGAGTAATATCCTGCAGACACATAATATATAATTTTGTTTTTCTTTTTTTTTTGCATTGCATTTTTATTTTCCAAAAACATGGTGTGCACCACTGTGCATTATGGACTGCAGTTGCTATTTATCCGGAATAAATAACTATGGACCGATTTTGGAAATTTCAGGATATTACTCAGTTACTAATATGATTGGACAGATAATATATGATTTTTTATTTTTTTTTGCATTTTTATTTTCAAAAAAACATGGTGTGCACCGCTGTGCATTATGGACTGCAGTTGCTATTTATCCGGAACAAATAACTATGGACTGATTTTGGAAATTGCAGGATATTACTTCGTTACTAATATGATCAGACACATAATATATGATTTTATTTTTTTTTTGCATTACGTTGGTCACTGTGTCTTTATCGATAATTTCGTTTTAAAGTGATGTGCAACAGTACTTTTGTGAAAAGATGTCATCCTCATGAAAAAGAAATCCTATTTCCACCAGCATGAGTTTGCATCCATTTTTGCTGTGAACAAGCTGTTGGCCACCACTATCCTAAGACAGAAGACCAGCTCTGCATCCAGTTGATTTTCCAGAGCACAGCCGGGTCAACTCAGAGCAAGGAGGCCTCGGGCAGCATTGCTGGAAACAGGATTAATCCTCAGATAAACTAACACCTTATAATGATATTTTTCAGAGGCTGCTAGGGCAAGTATGACATCTTTTAGTGAAGGTGGAATTATGCTTCAAGGGTTGTGGTGCAATACTAGATTTTACCAGCAGGTGGGGCTACAGACAACTCTGTCTGATGATACACCAGAGCTGTGGGGCAGTTTGATGTTATGACACCGCCAGCGAAGGTTTTGAGGTTTCCCCTTTAAAATCCCATCCTAACACAACGGCCTATTTGACCTATGCTGCTATGGGGTTACAATGAACTAGAGCTAATTAGAACCATGTTATTGAACAAGCCTTATGTACTTTGTTGTGTACAACACGCAACACAAGTCATAGAAAAAACAGAAGAAGGACTAAAGACTCTATGGGGGTAAGGGAAGTAAATCCTGATTGAAAGGGGTGTCCATCTACAGACAACCTTACCTTATAAGAAGGTAACCATGGATTACTGATGACTGTCCAGCTTTGGCAGCAGCAGGACTTAATAGGGGTGTCTATAGTTACTCTTGGACGTCTTCAGTTGGGGGATAAGTCTATCAAGCCGGAATTTTGTGGGCAACATATTGTTTCACCAAATTAGAGGCTGCTGCAAAGTCAGGAGAGCACATATACACTGGCACTTTTTAAGGTACGAGTGTGTGTCAAGAATTAATGAATGGCGTGATCATCTGATCTCTATCTGATGTCTCTGGTCAGAAACAGAAGTTGACAGGGTCATATGGATTGCCTACTATGAACAGTCTACATATCTATATAGAAGAAGGGATGGCAGAAGGTTTCTTTAGCCCAAGGGTGCTCAACCTCTTGAAGAGAGAGGGCCACCTAAGTGATTTGGTAACCTGTCACAAGCCACAATGAAATGGTTTAGGATTTCCCATTTTTTATTTCAAAAAGCATAATGAACATTTTCCTCCTGCAGCCGCTGAATGCTGGTGGGAAGGAGAGGAGGAGAAGCTGGCATTCAATGGTTGCAGAAGGAAAATGGAGAGGATCGGTTCCTGTACATGCTGCCCCTGCAGCCCCTCCTGTCCAAGTGTAAAACAGAATGTGTCAGGGAGGCCACATGGGCCACCTGGAGCATGGGGCGGAGGTTGCCATTGCCACCCCTAACACTACACCAGTGGTTGGGGATGGGGGGTGGGCTTGGTAAAAACACGTCTCAACAATGGGGTTTTACTGCTCCCCAAACCAAAAATGTAATTAAGCCCTTACTGACCTAAGCCCCCTATATGGCTGCTTTCACACTCATGTGCTGCAGTTTACCCACACCATGGGTGCAGCTCATTGCACATGTGGCTTTCCTGCAGGTTAGCTGCGCTTTGCCATGGACTTCTATTATCTCTCGCAGGTGTGGTGCACTTTCTGAAAGTGCACAAAAACTCCTGTATTCATGACTTTTGGTGTGTTTTTTAGAATGCGCACCAAACCCGGAGGATATGATAGAAGTCTTTGGCTCAGTGCAGCTAACCCGCACTACAGTGCTGCATCTGCGGATCAGTGTGAAAGCAGCCTAATGGTTGTTAACCCCTTTATAGGTGGTAATTTGCCCATTGCAAAAGTGCAGTGTATGTGTTGTTGAATACACTGACTTTTTTCCCTCTTCCAGCCTTTGTTGGCATAACTCTCCAGGCTGCTAGCAAGGTCCCAGGTGAACTGCACTTGGTTTCACTCCGCCTGGGACAAGAGTCGGCACTACAAAGGAAGCATCAGTTTATGCAGCAACTGCTCTCTATGTGGCCTCGTGGTTCCTTCACCACCAGTGCCGGCTCAATGCACTCTGATGCTCTCAAGCCCGGGCATGAGCTTCCATGGTTTGAGGCTGAGGGCCACATCAGAGGGCTCCGAGGACCACATCTGGCCCGTGAGCCACAGATTGAGCACCCCTTCTTTTGCCCATTGTTTTTCCAATCTCAAAGCTGGTTTATGTTGCCAGAAAACTGCCATGTACATGGACAGCATATGAATGGTGTGGTCATACACTGGCCAATACTAGTAAATGATGTGACCACTTGCAGTATTGTCCATGACAACTGAGCCAGGTAGAGGTTATCTTCTAAGGGTTTAGAAGTTCACACCATTGCACACAAGGCCCTGACCTGACCTCAAGCCTACTGAAAGGTTTACCAACCTTCATTCATACCAGGGGCAAAACGGGAAGTATCAATTAACCTACCAATATATTTTTGGATGGAATAATACATAAACACAGAGGGAACCTGCATACTATATACAGGTGTTATTTAAACCAGAACCTAGAGCTTCAAGGTATCAATGCTAATCATAAAAGTGTACCTTTGCTGCATGAGTGAATTGATACCCCAGTTGTGTATTAGGTATAATAATCATGGACAAATGTATTGCCTTTCACCAATTTTGGTTAGAAATCTGCCTTTAACCTGACTGTACATGGGTTAACTCGCCAAGAACAAAGAGAGAAGCTAGATCTATGACTGCCTCACCTCTTGGATCTACCAAGAGGCCTCCTTACCACTTTGACCGAAAGCACAAAGCGGTGCATGTGTGATATATGAACTAGTTCCCTTTTCTGTGGAGAAACAGGAAAATTACAGAAATGATCTAATGTGCTGGAAAATCTCTGTGTACAAATAAAATGGATCCTAATATTAACAAGTATTGATAGCCATTTGCAAGTTAATACCTTACACACAGGGGCGGACTGACCATTTGGAAACTCAGGCACTGCCCGAGGGCCTGGGGTCAGTAGGGGGCCCCATGAGATGTCCCTGGTACCTTTTTCATAGGCTTTTTTGAGTTTGGGCAAGGACACAAGGGCCCCATGATCCGCTATTGCCCGGGGGCCCCATGAGTTGTCAGTCCGCCCCTGCTTACACAACTACCCTAAGGGTATGAAAGTGAAAGGAAGAAAATGTAGGCTGAAAGTAGGACCCCATTGATACCCTCAATAAAAGGACACAGAAGTAACACAGAACATATAAAAAAAAATCCAAAAATATCTCAGAGCAGCCAAAAGGATAGCAAATAATTACAGCCATGAGTCTACGGAGAAGAACTGAAGATTAACATATGGAGTCAGAGATACCCAAGCTCGCTAAACTAATTATGACAAATTCTAATAAGTTCCACAGAGTCAACCAATTGAACACCGGTCACCATCCATTGGGTTTTCTTGAAAAAAATGCAAAATGCTATTGCCAGGTTAGATGCGAATTAACCTAGCAATATATTTCATAGTTGGGAGGAGGAAATCTGTGCAAACCTTCCAGATTGCACAGTGAGTGTCAAACTCAGGACCTGAGTCCTGCCAAGCTAGAGGGCTAACCACTTAACCACCAGACTAGCTGTACTATGTACTCAGAATTAATAGCAAGAGAGAAGATCTTAGTACTGTGTTTTATATGCAGTATATTGTAAAACCCTCGCTAATCACATTGCATAAAAACATCATACTGGTATATCATTATCACATCACAGTTCCCAGCACATCTATTACAAAATAGGCTGTGTTGAGACAAAGAACACAAGGAACACAAAGTTCCTTATTCAATATTATAGGATTTTATGGATCACGAGAGTCTAAGCATTTTTGAGGATAATTGATCAATATCTTAGCATGAATATATGCATTCATGGCTGAGAAACCCTACAGAACCCTAAAACTATCTCTCTCTCTCTCCCTCTATATATATATATATTATATGATTTATATGATATATGTATATATATATATTACTGGTACTAGTTGTAGGAGGAGATCTTTAGGCAAGAAAACCAAAGACATAAAGGTAAGCCCTGTTAAATTATATATATTTAGACTGGGGCCTTCTTGATATTGTGCTTTTTTGTCTTTATGGATGTTGTTGGAGAATGTTCTGCATTGCAAACTGGAGCAAGGTATCTCTGTCCATTTATTAAGCCTCAGTAAATAAAAACTAAGAATGGAGCGCAGATTGGGCATGGGTTTGGGGGTCTAAGTCTCTTATTTACCTCTTGACTCCATACGCCATGTTTATTAAAGAGTCCAGCCTGCGAAAGAAGGGACAGGAGAGGGAGTGCAGTGTTAGTCATTGCGCAGGATTAGAGGGGTGGGGAGGGGCCACAAAGCTGCTCTGGGTAGTCACAAAGGGACAAAAAAAAAAAATGCTGCATAAGTAGACGCTGTATAAAATACATCTAAATATCACACACATGCTAGCTGATTTGTAAGTTACCATAAAATTGAATATTGTTCGTCTACCAGGCAAAGATCACTAAAATCTAAGCTAAAAACCACAACAAAAGAAAAGAACCACAAAACTACTATACAAAACTCACAATTCACAACACAAAAATGAAAACGCTAGACAAAGAAAGCTCCACCGGACAAGCATATAAGTTGATTTATATATTAAAAAACAAAAAACAGAGAAAAGATGAGTGTTGCCCATGTCATATTTGTTGTTAAGAACAACATAATTTCTTCCTCAAAATCAGGACCAATGTGCTTAAGAACACAGCTAAAACCTGAACTTCTATCTTTTGGAATGGTTATAAAAACAGAATTCGCACAAAAAAGAAAACATTAAAAGCGAGAAGAAGACATCCAACATTTTTCATTATTGATGAATCAACTGTTTGGCCAATGCACCCAAATTAATGGTAATGACACTATTACGATGCTATTGTACTGTTCAGATGATTGTAAAAAGTTTACGTTTTTACATCACCAAATATATTGGGATGACCAAGAAAAGCTACAAGGCATTTTGATGGAACAAAGCACAGAAGCTGACTGCTGATGTAGCCAGACACAACAATTTAAAGGGTAAATGTTAAATGTGCCACAGTACCATGATCTGATATTTAGGTGGGTCCAAACAACAATCTGAACATTCATCAGTTTGGTGGCTGAAATCATGTCTATTGCTTGGTTAGGTATATTACCTGGATGTAGGTTAACACAACAATGGGTGAGATAGTTGACTAGAGAAGACCAAACAGAAGGACAAGTGAGGAAAGTCACAAATGACAGAACCTGACCTTGGTGTGATGTCAGCAAGAAATGAACAACTGACATGAAGACACAGAAATGATATGTAAGCTTCCAGACATCTTCCCAAACAGTTACCAGTTATGAATAACTGATGGTGAGTTGGCCAAAAGACTGGTTGAAAGCATACAGTAGACATAAGCCAACAATGAAGGCCTCCTAAGCTTGTTGACAAATAGTCTGTAAGTAGGGTGAAAAAAGATGAACATTGAAATAGGGAAACAAATTTGTAAGATAGTTGCCTAACCAGACATACAGAGCACTAAGCAGCTGGGCAATGACACAGAAAAGGTAATGGAATGGCAAAGGCCTGGGCCCTTTGATAGTAGACAGTATGGTTACTTTAAGTTGGTATTATGACATCACTATGGTACATGAAAAACACACATATTGAGTGATGGATAGCTGCTGGTGTAGAAAAATCTACAGGTGAATAATTGACTGAAGATAACCTGTTTGGTTGTGGCAAATTAGATTTGTATATTGGGCACCAACCCAGGATGGCTAATGTTTGGGGTGTCAGCAAAGCTGAGATGGGCAGTAAATGGCCAGTTAAGAGGTGTAGTAGGAAGAGACGCAGGGTGACTAGGAGTTGGGAAACATGTTGGAATTGTGACCTAAAGGACTTTCTCCATAACCGATAAGCAGTACTATAGGAGAAGAGACTATTAATGAAGAAAGTAGCACAGATTTGATCTGTTATGTGTTAGTTGAATGGTACAGGGGCATGGAGTTGGCAGAGTTTAGAAAGGAGTAAGGAGAGACTGAGTCCGGGATGAGGAAGGAGTTATAGGTTTCTTGTAAGGGTGACTTACCTGAATCTCTGTGTCTGGTGGTGAAGGGGTCCTGTGTACCTCCGGGCTGTGGTCTGGTAAAGGTGGGTAAGCAAGGCCTGACCTGTTTTCTGGCTGGGGTTGTTGGCAAATTTCACTGTGATTGGTTCACTAGCTCCCAGTGGTTTTTGCCCATTCAACCCTTTGATTGCTTCCTCAGCCTCTATCCTCTTATCAAACCGGATAAAGCCCACTCCTCGCGAGACCCCTGTAAATGAGATAACCAGGAATGTCATTAGTGTACCTCTGCATAAAGCCATTCTCTTCCACCTCCATTTAAGTTCACAGTTTAGATTTTTACCATTCTAAAACTATAAGTAATAACTTCAGAAGTTTTAACATTTTCCTGCTCTGTTCAAAAATGTAAAAAAAGTTGTGGCTAATGTTCCACTTTAAAAAATGGAAACAATTAGTCTTTACTTTCCAAGAGGCAACTTAGCTGGAAGCAAAAGTAACATGTATCAACATGGAGAGAGCCATTCAGCTGTAAACTGTCTGTCATACCTGTGACTTGGTCAACCAAAATACGAGAGGTGATGATCCTGCCGTACTGTGAGAAAAGCTGCTCCATCTCCTTCTGATTCATAGTTTTTGGAAGGCTGCTCACATAGAGATTGGCATCGCGTATGGAGGCAGAGCTTGGCCGAGCATAGGATACCTGTGTCAAAAAAGCAAAATACACCTTTCCTTTAAAATGTATGTAAAACCAAACAGTTTACTTTCGGAAAGGGAAGGTTAGAACCCCTTTTAGGTTTTTATGATTGACTGTGTCCCCACTTGGGAGATTCACCCGTTCTATCTATCCTAATGACCACTGTCACCAAGACCACAGGTAAGGAAATTTTTGAGTTTTCACAAGAACAGAAAAAGGGTCAGGACATTTGTTTCAGTGACAACCCTCACTTTGGAGAAATGTTATGTCTCTATAAACCTGGAAATGAAGCAAAATCTCTATAAATGGAACACAGATGCAAATACAGCTAATTAAACCCTACTAGGAGTACAAAGATTGTGTACATAGACATCTCGCAGTGCAGGACAGAGAACCAAGTCTTACCAACTCTGATGCCAAGTGGTGGTCAATGCTAGAAGCATCCATGCCATGTAATTAACCTTATCTGTTAACCAAATTCAGCTTTTTTGGAAGGCCCAGATACAGTTGTGATCAAAAGTTTGCATACCCTGGCAGAAATTGTGAAATTTTGGCATTGATATTGAAAATATGACTGATCATGCCAAAAAAATGCTCTTTTTATTTATTTATTATTTATTTATTACAGGTACTTATTTAGCGCCGTCAATTTACATATATATTGTACATTCACATCAGTCCCTAACCCTCAAGGGGCGTACAATCTAAGGTCCCTAACTCACATTCATACATACACATACTCTTTTATTGAAGGATGATGATCATAAGAAGCCATTTATTATCAAATAGTTGTTTGGCACCTTTTTAAATCATAATGATAACAGAAATCACCCAAATGGCCCGGATCAGAAGTTTACATACCCTGGAATGTTTGGCCTTGGTACAGACACACAAGAACATTTTTTGGCATGATCAGTCATATTTTCAATATCAATGCCAAAATTTCACAATTTTTGCCAGGGTGTGCAAACGTTCGAGCACAACCGTATACTGATACTGATAGTGATTACTATGTCCATTTAGCTAACCTAAAAACCCTAATGTCTTCCTTTGTAAAGCAGAGCAAAGTGATGGTATTCCCGTTCAAGTAGATTTTAGCTTTGCACAGACAAATCAATGGAAGATGATAAATGATTATCTGCGTTGGGTTACTGTACTGCTGCCATTATGAAATACACCCCAAAAACTGATTCAGAGCCTCACCTGAGGCTAATCAGATTTAAATCTTGCATAATTCAAGCCAATATCTGATCACCATCACATCAAGAGAAATATATATGTAAAGTTTCCTTTTACAGAAGAGGATTTTCATAAAAAAAAGTTGTTGCTTTTTGTTATAAGAACAGTTCTTCTTTTATACACTTTTTCGACCATGGGGTTTCATGTATTGGATAGGCAAGTCAATTGGCATTATGCATAATCCTTTTTTATGACTTGACCAGGGGCAGACTGACCATTTGGAAACTCGGGAACTGCCCGAGGGCCCGGGGTCAGTAGGGGGCCCTATGAGATGCCCCTGGTACCTTTTTCATAGGCTTTTTTGAGTTTGGGCAAGGACACAGGGGCCCCATGATCCCCTATTACCCAAGATCCCCATGAGTTGTCAGTCCGCCCCTGGACTTGACCCTTCCTTTTACATTTTACAGCGTTACTCCAGTCTTCCCCCAAATGATTACAAAAAATTAAAAGTCAGCAGTTGATACGCTGGGATCAGCGCATAGGCACTGCAGTTGTCCCACTGCATCGGATCGCACATCAGCTGCTAAGTTGTAATGCAGCAGTTGGTGTGAATGGACCATGCTGCAGATTGCGCAAAAGCATTGTAGGACTTAGGGGTTCATTTTTACTAGATGTGGGTCCCATTGGTGCTGGGATCTTGGCCAGTAGTTAAATTAAGGGGTCCAACAATTAGTCTTGCACAGAGGCCCCATAAAGGCTCTGTGACTGGCTGACACTTGCCTTCCCAGCTCCCTAGCTTACTGAGAATTTCCGAAAAATTCAGGAAATGGGAAAAAGTTTGGGTAAAATATCTCCATGTCAGTCATTTTAAGGTCATGTTCAGGTTGGTCACAAATAGACAGACACCTACCGCAGGATGAAAGGTGAGAACATACCTGCATTTCCACAAAGAACTAGCTGGAATAATGGAATTATCTGTGTTTCTGATCCCTGCTTGTAGAGATATTGTAAAAGCTCCACATGCAATAACAAGTTTCTTCAGGTACTCAATAAAGACCCCTATGGTGGTCCCAGGTTATGGTTATGCAATGCAATGCCTGAGTTTTACAAGTCATAAGGACACACCAATAGGTCCTTTTCTTCTTTGATATCACCAAACAGGAAGTCAAAAGTATATTTGAAAATATCAGTCACCACTCAACCCCCCTCAATTCTTATTCTAAATCTTTTTACATCTTCATTCACAAATTTCATTCATGATTATCCTATTAACCCCTAAAGAAAGAAGGTTGTTGTTGACATTCATCAACCCTTTGAATATTTGCTGCTAGGCTCTCTTCATTCGAAATTACAATATCAGAAACGCCACAGACCAACACAGCGCTTGCAGCAATGAAGAGGTTAATTGGTTGTTTTCCCCAGAGAGAAAGGATTGTTTGCTGAGCCCCTAGCCACCGTTACCACAGAAAGACTCAGTCGCTCAAGGGAGTCTCCCATGAGCCTTTGCAGCATCAACACTAGGCAGAGCAGATGGAGACTGATCTGATGCAATTGTCTCCATAAACCAAAAGTTTAACAGAAGAAGAAAAAAAAACCTATATTTGACTTCAGGTTTATTTTAATTATTTTTTAAAATTAAATCTGTGTTTTATTGATGATTTTAAGGGCATTTGATTCAACCGGCAACCAGTGCAATGTTTGAACTACCGTCTAGAAGAGAAAAGCTAGCATCTGATCAACAAGATGGTCAACAGGATTATTCACATTTGCTACATCAGTTGACCTTTCCTACAGTAGGATGGTGGCATTCCCATAATTTCTTTCCGTGTTTCTTAAAACAGAAACCTTTTAATGGCAGTTGTCAGTTTCTGGTCCCACCTCAACCCAAGGATATACTTACATACATTTGAAAATTTCATAGAAAAAGCACTAACTTCACTATACCATTATGATCAGCTTATGGCAAAGTGGTCATACTGGATATTTTTAAAATATAAATATTTACAAAACTTTGTAAGCCAATAAACATTTCCCTGTACAATGTAGGTAAGACCTTCCTCAACTGAGCGTCATAAATTGGGACAAGAATGGGTAAATGTTTCCTGCTATTCATGGTGAGATATGTGATGTGGCCATCTAGGATCAGGTTTAGGTTGAACGCCACAACCAGGTCTCTGTGCATTGAACCTGTCTCCTGCCAAATCCTGTTTTTAGGGCTTGCAGTAACATTCTAACCATTGAATACAATGCAGTCTAGTAGAGTACATACAATGCATCCATAGAGGAACACACACTTCCCAACATTTTATAATGATTTGCAAGACATATTAGCACTATTTGGAAGACTAAAACTGCTACACATCTATTTATTTCAATTGTTGGCATCAGGGACGGACTGACCATTTGGAAACTCGGGCACTGCCCAAGGGCCCGGGGTCAGTAGGGGGCCCCATGAGATGCCCCATGTACCTTTTTCATAGGCTTTTTTGAGTTTGGGCAAGGATACAGGGGCCCCATTATCCCCTATTTCCCGGGGGCCCATTGAGTTGTCAGTCCGCCCCTGGGTTGGTTACAGATAGGCAGACTCCAGGATGAAAGGTGAGAAGATACCTGCACTTCCACAAGCAACTAACCTGAATACCAGAATTCTCTGTTTCTCACCCAACATAGCAGAGGTAAGTATCAGTGTTGCTTGTAAAGATATTGTAAAAACTTCCATATGAAATAACAAGCCTCTCTAGGAGCCAGCGGTCCCCCACCTTTCTCAATCGAGCATCACGTGTTCTGCTTAGTTTGTTTTAATTTGCCTCAGATCACTAGTACATTTTACTTCCCAACTCTTTCTCTCTTATAACTTAGATAACCTATACCAGGTGTGCTTAACCTGTGGCCCGTGGACCAAATGTGGCCCACGGAGCCTTCTGATGTGGCCCATGATCTCAAACCAGGGAATTGCAGGCCCAAGGTCAGCAACCCAGTGATCGTGATCTGGGCTTGACGACTTGGCATCCCAGAGCATCAGAGTGCATCAAGCAGGCGGCTGCAGGTGCCACATAAGCCAATGCTTCCTCTGTAGCGCCAGCTCCTGTCCGAGGTGGAGTGATACCAAGTGCACTTTGTGCCGGGGACCTTTCTAGCAGCCTAGAGACACAGAACGATGGCAGCAGAAGCTGGAAGAGGAAAGGAAGGTCAGTGTATTATACAACACATACACTGAGCTTTTGCAATCTGCATATTAGCACCTATAAAAGGGTTAACAACTATCAGGCTGCCTTCACACTGATCACTGGTGCAGTGTAGTGAACCTGTGGCTTTCCTGTGGGTTAGCTGCACTATATCATAGACTTCTATTATATCCTGCAGGTTATTATTATTATTATTATACAGTATTTATAAAGCGGCAATGGTTCGCTCAGCGCTGTACGTTACAAAGGGGGACAGAACATGTGACAGAACAATACCAATACAATGCAAAACATGAGGGGATTGAGGGCCCTGCTCCTTGGAGCTTACCATCTAGGAGGGAGGGGATAGTGGTACAGGAGGAGATAGCTGTGGGGGATGGAGTGGTAGGAAGAGTGGAGGAGGTCGGCAGGTTAGCAGGGGGTGGGGTAGGCTTCCCTGAAGAGGTGGGTTTTCAGGATGCACCTAAAGGAGAGGAGAGTAGGTGATAATCTGATGGGTTGGGGCAGGGAGTTCCAGAGGATGGGTGACACCCTGGAGAAGTCCTGGAGGCGGGCATGGGAGGAGGAGACCAGGGAACTAGAGAGAAGGAGGTCTTGTGAGGAGCGGAGTGTGCGTGTTGGGCGGTACTTGGATATTAGGTC